GTGTGTGTGAGTTTGTATGTATCTGTGTCTGTATGTGGATGTGTCTTACTGTGTCTGTGTATGTATGTCTCTGTGTGTGCCTGTGTATGTGTGCCTATGTCTGTATGTGTGTGTGTAGAACTGTGTGTGTGTGTTAGTTGTACACAATTACTAAGCTTTATATTCTGTATGAGTGTGTGAAGTCAGCAATTCCAGTCTGCGGATGTTCCATAGCTGACTCTTCTGCCAGAGCCAAGCCTGCCTCATCGGAACCCTTCTCATTTCACACTGCTGTCAATGGGATGCGCTCCCCTTTAGCATCAGGCCCTGTGGCAGAGCCTCCTGGCCTGTCAGTGGAACCTTTTTGTCTCAGATCTACTGTCATCAGGCTCTCTGTAAACAAACACGTCTTTCTTTACCAGCTTTTTGAGAACTAACTCTGGACAGTCTGAATGTCCTTCAGACCCCCAGTACCAGTCTGTGACCTCTCCCACCTCAAAGATTCTACCTTCCCGAGGTCACTACACTTCTGTCTTAAAAAAAGAAAAAACTACTTTTTCTGCCACCAATTCTTGAGAATTATTTCTAGTTTTTTTTTCTTTTCTTTCCTTTCAGTTTCTCCCCGCCCCACCCCCCTTTTTTTGGTAAGGAAGCTTTAGTGGAGTTTTTTTTTTTTTTAAGTTACAGAGTTTTAAAATTCACTGCTCATATACTCCAGGCTGCCGGCTTCTTTTCAGACAACGTGCCTCAGCTTCTAATTGCTGGGATTCTAATGGTGCCTTTTCCAGATGTGCAACTGAATTACATCTGCTTACAAGTTACTGCGGAATCCAGCAAATCTGTGTGATATAGTGCAGCAACCAAGTTAATGAATTAAAATATTGAGTAATGCTAGGTGGTGGTGGCACATGCCTTCACACCAGCACTTGGGAGGCAGAGGCAGGTGGACCTCTGTGCGTTTGAGGCCAGCCTGGTCTACAGATTCAGTTCCAGGACAGCCACGGCTATACAAAGGAACCCTGTCTCAAAAAACAAACAAAAACATTAAGTTCTTTTAAATACATTTAAAGTTCACAAAAGAATTAGTTATGTCTGTCTTATACTATAATACTTATTTTTTTGTACTGACATTACTATTTATTTTAAAAGTTCAGGGGCCAGCAAGGAGACTCACCTGCTAAAGGTATCTGTCACCAAGCCTGATGGCCTAAATTCAGTCCTTGAAACCCATATGGTGTAAGTGGAGAATTGAGTCCCGTAAGTTTCCTCTGACCCCCATGTAGGCACTAATGTACACGTGCATTCTTATATGTACATGTATGGTATGGGAGGTCCTTCTGTATATGTGTTGCTTTTATTGGTTAATGAATAAAGAATCCGTCTTGGCCCGTGATAGGGCAGAGTAGAACTAGGTGAGGAAAACTAAACTGAATGCTGGGAGAAAGAAGGCGGAATCGCGAGATGCCATGTAGCTGCTACCAGGGACAGAGACCAGCACCTTGTGGTAAGCCATAGACATGTGACGATACATAGATTAATAGAAATGGGTTAAATTAAGATATAAGAGCTAGCTTGCAGTACAATTAAGTGATTGGCCAAGCAGTGGTTTAAAATATAGTTTCTGAACGATTATTTCTGGTCTGGGCAGCCAGGCCTCCGTCAACACGTGTGCATACAAACTAAATAAATGACTGAAAAAAGTCTAACAGCTTAAATAAATAGAAACCCTTTTTCAAAGAATACAAATTGCAAGAACTAAAAGAAATAGAAAACCTGAAATAGCTCTATATCAAGGAAATTCTATTTGTAATTGATGTAAAGCCTCCCCATGAAATCCAGGACAAGCTGGCTCCACCTGTGAATTCTGTCAAACATGTCAGAGCAAGTTAGTACCAGTTCTTTATGGACTCAGACCATAGAGAGAAGGCTCCTCAACTCGTTTCCCTCTGTGTGCCCCTTGTGTTTGGTGCCCACGGAGGCCAGAAGAGGACACCAGCTGCAGCTGGAGCTACAGAAGGTTGTAAGCAGCTTGCTGGAAACTGAACTCTGGTCCTCCGCAATGGCAACACATGCTCTTAGCCCCTGAGCCGTCCGTCCTGAGTTTCATCCCCTGGACCTGCATAATGGAAGGAGAAGACTGACTCTCTCAAGTACCCTCTGACCTACACGCAGTGGCACACGCAGGTCGCCCCTCCAATAAACAGACACAAGTAAACTTCCAAAAGAGTTAAACAAACAGCCCATGGTTTCTAAAAGGCATCCGATGTGACTCAAGAAAATGCAAATTTAAATCACAAACACTACTGGACCCATGGAATGACTAACGTGAAAACATCTGACAATAGCATGTGTTGGCAAGGGTGTGGAGTACCTGGAACTCTCATCCATTACTGGTGGGGATGGCAAATTAGCCGGGACAACAACTTGGCAGTTTTTCAAAGCGATAGACGTGTACTCACCTGGTGATCCATTTAGTCCTACTCCTTGGCATCTCCTCAAGAGGAAGGAAAACGTGTTCACACAGAGACATGTACACACACACACACAAATATTCACCCACAATAGCTTCACGCTGGAAACACACCACATGCCCATCACAGGGGAAGAGGGAAACAAGCCATAGGACAACGCAACATTGCAGTACGGCTCAGCCATCAAAAGGAACTACTGACACCCACACCTGTGTGGGTCAAGCTCACCATGGGGTTGGGTGAAAGGTGGGGACTAGCCAAACTGAGCTTCCCAAAGACAACCAAGTCAGTTGTGGGAAAGATAGGGAAAGAGGATTAACAACAGGGTCATCTAAGGAAATAGCAGGGGCAAGAGGCAGGGCGGCGAGGTTACACTCCTAAAACAGAGAGAGAAAAGACATCTGCGGTAAGAATTTATCCAGAGCTTTAGGAGCATGTGACTGGGGTAGGAAGGACAGGGTGTGAAGAGGCTTTGGAGACCAAGGTGGGCGCCTGCTCTGCGTGCTGGGCCACACTCAATTCGCTCTTCCTCTGAAATTATCCTTTTTCTTCAGCGGATCCCATCTCTCATCCATTCCGCGTCCTCTGTCTGAGAGTCTAAGCATGTCCCAGCCCTGAATGAACTCCTGTATGACAAAGGACAGTTTCCAGAGGAGTTCTGTGACCCAGGTCCGGCCTGCCCACATGCTCCCATTCTTGGAGGCCGAGATCATTCCGGAATGGAACTGAAGCCCTTTCTTTCACTGGCCTTCAATTGTTAGGTGTAAGCCTGGAGCTGCCAGGAGCCAGTGTAGAGGAAGGGCTTGCCCCAGAGTGACAAACCAGACACAGGACAAGCTGAGAGGTAAAGAGGTCCGGGTCCTGGGGACACCATGGAAACCCCTGGACTTTACACAAGCCTGCCCAAAGGCTCGTTTGGGTCACTCTCAACAGGAAGGGTGGTGGCAGAGGGAGTGATGAGGTACGTTCTGGGCATCTTGAACACAAGGCTCGGTACAAAGCCCAAGGACCAGAGGCTTGGAGTCCAACGAACTGATTAAACAGACAGACATGGAGGACAGTGCACCAAGGGGGCAGAGGGCCGAGGCCAGAGCCCTGGGGAGAAGTTGAGGCACAGTTAGAGGAATGAGAAGTGAGAAAGGTCCCCAGGAAGAGAACACGGGCACCTATGGAAAGGGCAGGGGTGCCGGTTCCACCCGCCCTGAGGTCAGGTTGAGCAAGATGGGACAGGATTAGGAAAGTAGGCCACAGGTGACCTGTTCCCTGGAGGTTATGGGAGCCCTGGCCAGAAGCCAGCCTGATTTTGAAATGGGTTCCAAAGGTTAAGCTGGGAAAGCAGGCAGGTTTCTGCCTCTAAAATTCGACTCTGTGAGAGAAGGGTGGTTTGCTTTGGTTTTCTATTAGGAGTTTTTTAAACAGCAGGTTGTTGCATAGACTTGTATCAAAGGAGAAAAGGGAAGAGAAGGGAGAAGCGGGAGGTAGGGAGAAAAGGAAAGAGAGAGGGGAGAGGGAGACAGAGGAATGGGGAAGAGAGAGGAACACCCGGACAGGGAGGAGGGAGACTGGGGAGAGAAGTGAACTCCTAGGCGCTGTGCTGGAGCCCTGCTACAACTGGGGCATGCCCGTGTCCAGTGCATCTGCCCCTGTATTCCACCGTCTCCACTTGCCAGGCGGAACCTCCAGACCTTAACTGGGAGGAAGGGCAAACTGGAGGGTGCAAGAGGAAGCAGAACCATGAGCTCCATTATGGGGCAGACTGTTCTAGACTCTGGGCCTCCTCGGCTGAGACAGGTGTAACAAGTGGAGGCTGGTGGAAAGGCTGGGATGGAGGTCTTTGGAAGGTCACTGGCTTTGTGCCCTGCAAACATCTGTAGCAAAGGGCCAGGCGCCAGTGAGGCCCATAGCGGGAGGAAGGCTAAACTGTGGGTCAGGCAAGAGCTAAAATAACGCTGCATTTGCAGTGATTTCCCCCGCTTTGGCAACTTTACCTGAACCCCCTTTGTTAAGGTCACTGGTGGGACTTAAAACCTTTCAGGAGTCTCATTTAAAAGCAGAAAAAGAAATTAAGTTTTAAAATTTGGTTAAATTAATTACATAAGATTGTCTCCAATCATGTGTCTAGTGGGCTCGCCACCAGCCCCGTGCTCTTCTCCCCCGTGAGTATCCTTTGTTGCCCTAGACATTTTTATTCTACTTCCATGCCATCCTCACACATAAGATCTTATGTATCTATATAAAATGTAAGGCATGGGGCCACGAGATTGCTCTGCAGGGAAAGGCTTTTGCTGCCCAAGCCCGATGACCTGGGTTCCATCCACATAAAGGAGCAGCAGAGAATAAACTCCACGAGCTTGTTGTCTGACTTCCACACGAATAACATGGAGTGTAACCACACTCACACACATTCACACACATGCACACACAGATGCACACACTTACACAGACACACACATGCATCATGCATGCATACACACATGCACACACACTCACACTTACACACAGACACACACATGCATCATGCATACACACACATGTGCACATGGACAGGGACACACACACATGCACACACACATGGACGGGAACACACACACGCACACACACACCCACATTTGCTTCCTGAGACTGACTTGGTTCACTTAATCTGAATCTCTCTGGTGACACCCTTTTCCTGCAAATGACCTAGCTTCATACTTCTTTATGGCTTAGAAAAGTGGCCGCCTATCTAGCGTTCCCTCTCCTCATCAGTTCCTCTGTGGATAGGGTGGGTCCATAACTTAGCCACTGTTTCCAGATGAGTCTTGCTGTGTAGCTTGGGTTGGCTTCCAAGTCACGCTCCTCCTGCCTCACCCTCCTGAGATGACAGGTATGCCCCACATTTCAGGCCTGGCAGGAAATGAACTTTAACGACCCATTGAACATAACATACAAAGCGGGAAACCGATCTGTAGATTATCATGGAGCAAGTTTATATTCTCATCTTGTGCCAAATTTTCAAAGATCGTCACACCAGGCACATTCCAGCACTCTTGAGAGTTAATGGCAGCCACTCTGACATTGTGGTCAGTTCAATGTCACTTACTGTCCCGTAGAGGTGTAAAGAAAACCTTTTCCCCGTGTGTGTGTGTGTGTGTGTGTGTGTGTGTGTGTGTGTGTGTATAAGGTTGGACTCACGTAGCCCAGCCAGACCTTGAACACAGCAAGCAGCCTAGGCTGACTTTGAACTCTCTATTCTCCTGCCTTGGCCTCCTGCGAGCTGGGTTTACAGGTGTGTATTACCTCTCCTAGACTATTGAAGTGGTTTTGTTTGTTTGTTTTTGAGACAGGGTAGCCCTGGCTAGGGCTGAATTCCTCCTGATCCTTCTGTTTCAGCCTCCTGAAAGCTGGGACTATAGGTCTGAGATACACCACACCTGGTTATATAAGATTTTTTGGAGGCTTCTGGATTCAGGACTTTGAGGGAATGTACGACCTGGAACTTAACATGGGGAACCTGGCCCAGGAGACTCCCTTGTTCTTGTTGGCCAGTTCTTCATCACCTGTTTCTTGCCCAGCGGAGAAAACCAGCTGTGGTCCTGTGTGACTTCTCCGTGCAGATATAACTCTGTGGAGATCTAAAATACGTTTTGTGTCCTCCAGGGCTCCTGGAAGTTCTTTCAAAGAGCAGGATGTCTTTCCTACGACTGGACAGAGCTGAACCAGTTCAGGCAGTAGTGGGACCTGCCAGGATCCCTCACCTTTGTCCTGAAGGCCATGGAGATACATACCTTTGTCTATCCTTGGCCCTGGAGAAGTTTCTTAATGGGCCAAGGACAGATGTTCTGAGATATCCAACCCCAGGCTGAGAAAATGACAGATCTGCTTAGTTCTGGATCCTACAGATGCACAGAGGTTAAGGGTAAGGGACTGTGGAGACAGAAGACAGACTCACCAGGAGTATAGGAGGGTCATGGACTCCACACTTCTGGGAAGTACTGGCATGAGAAGAGAAGGGGCGGGATACACAGACACCTCCTCTTACCCTACTGACTCTGGGCCCGCCAGGTCTGCCAGCAGTGATCTGTATTCTCAAAGGGGCCTGGTCCTGACATGCTCCCTTTGAAGGACTTCTATCCACCTTTAAAAAATCTAAATTTGAGAGCATTTTCTTGGTGCTTCCTGGTTCCGTTGGAGACAGACCTTTGTGGGTCAGAAGAGGCCAGAGGACCCTATGCTGTTTGGGCTCCAAGAGCCTGGCTTTGTTTGCTAAACACTAGCAAGATTAGGCAACTTTACAAACAGAACCAAGGTCCTGGCCAGCTGCCCAGGGTGGTTACAGTCCTGGGCACAGAGGCAGGACAAGCACACGTGGACACCCTCAGGGACAGCAGGCAGGCAGGAGAGGTTGGCAGGAGGCCTCCATGGTCACCTTTGCCTGGCTGTCCAGATGCTCTTAAATAAGCATTATTGGGTACAAATTTTCGGCAATTTACTTCAGAAGATAGCATCCATTCTGGCCATAAATGCTGAGGCTGTAGGAGAAAGAAGGCGTCTGATTCCAACAAGGTATAGTAGCTCATATTTTGAACATAAGTCAATCCAGGGATCATATCAATAGAGCTCACACAAATGAAGAGAGGATGCCTGTGGCTATTAGTATTTTAATATAATAGTTTATAAGGCTCTTTTAATGATATTGCATGTATGGCAGCTTTGTCTGTATGTATATAACCATAAGTGTGCAGTGCGCATGGAGGCCAGAAGATGGTGTCGGTTCCGTGGAGTTAGCCACAGGCTTCTGTGAGCTGCCCTGCCCTGTGGGTTCTGAAAACAAAACCTGGGCCTCTGGAAAAGCAGCCAGTGCTCTTAACCACTGAGCCACCTCTCCAGCCTGTTTTTAACACAAAATACTGAAAACAGTGATTCCTTCTTTATAAACTGCCTTCCAAGAGAGGTGAATTCCATCCTAAACCAAAATTGATTAGAAACTCAGCCCTAATTCATAGCTTGCCTCTTTAGCTCTTTAGCTTAGTGAATGGTCCTCTTTGGGGTATTAAATTCCCTTTGGGTTTTCTCTTTGTATTTCCTAGACATCTCTCTTTCTCTCTCCTCTTTCCCTCTCCCTCCCCCACTTCTCTCAGATGAAGTGTGCTATTGGGAATGAGAACAGGAAGTTGGCTACATTGAGATCTTTTGTTACAAGTTATCTCTTGCCGTCTGTGTTTGTTTTTGTTTACGGAGGCTTTATCTTTTTCCTCCCTCCCACTCCTGTCACCCAGTTGTCAAAGTTCTCCTCCCTGGTCTTTTGTGTATTTTTCCAGACTCATGCACACGTGCACATACACAGATTTATAAGCATATGTGTTTCAGCTAATACATGCCTATGTAGATATTCTCTGCCCTTTTCATTTTGACAACAAAAATTTTGTTTGCTTCTCCCTTGCATTTTCATGAGTGATATGTCTTAGAAATCGTTCTATAGCCACACATAAATCATGTTCTGTTTTTCTTGGATCATGGTAGGATTTCCATTGCATGTAGAATATTTACTTTACCAGTGCCCTACTGGTGGCCACTCAGAATTTTTCCAGTCTTCTTGTTATTGCAAACAAAGTTGCAGTGAATCACCTTGTACAGGCCTGATTTTGCAACATGCCTAGAGTCCTAGAAGGGGATTTGCTCTATCTCTATCCATTTACAATTTTCATAAGGGCTGCCAAGTTACTTTCTATAGGACTTACCAATTTATATGGCCACCAGGAAGAAGGGCAGTGTGGTTCCACACACCTTTACCAAGGTCATATGTTAATCTTTTTTTAATCCGTGCCAACTGGGGAGAAAATAAGTGTAGTCTGCTATGGCTCCAATGTGGTTTGTTTCCCGGGTGCTCAGGTATAGGAGGCTCAGTCTTCTAGGTGATTGTGGTGAGGGGTGGGACCCTAAAAAACAAGGCCTAATGAGAGGTCCTTGGGTTTAGGTATGCTTCCAGGAGGGATAAACATAGTTCCAGTTACCACTACTGATTTAGGCATTGTGACCGCAAGTTGTAGTTGTGGCCAGGTGGCACATACTTGGAACCCCAGCCCTAGGATAGCTGAGGCAGGAGGATCACAGATTTGAAGGCAACCTGGGTGTTACATGACTTTTTGTGGGGAGACATGAACAAATGTCTGTTTACCCCAGATAGAGCACACCAAAGAAACCTTTCCACCCTTGTCTAGCTTATTTTACTAGCACATTTACTGGGATGATTTACAGGTACACGCGTGAGGGTTATTTACAGAAACACGGACGCCTCCAAAGCTGCTGCATCACCAAAAAGCCCACCCACCCGAGCATGAATTACAACTCCTAAAGGCTGCATCACTGGACAGCTCGAGGGTAGCTTACCAGGGTAAAGGGTCTCCTCTCCAGATCAGTTGTTACTGCTATATATAGCCTTGGGAAGGAGTGTTGTCAGTCTTCTAAGTTTCAGGAGATTCCTACAGCTTGTGAGTTGTATTTACTTTCTGAACCCTATTGAGCCTCCCCTCCAGGAGAGAATGTTTCAATTAGGTGGAAATAACCACACAAGATCCCACCTCTTTCTCTGACTCTCACATTTTTACGCTCCTTTCTCCCATGCTCTTTGAGCCTCACAGAGGCTTGATTCTTTCCCAGTGGGCCGCTATGCCACAGCAGTCTCCCTCCTTTCAGTTTCTTGACCATTGTGGTTTGAAGGAGAAACGTCCACCAAGGGCTCATGTACGTGAATACTTGGTCCCACTTGGCTGTACTATTTGGGGAGGTAAGGCAGCCTTGAGGTGGTAGAGCTTTGATGGAGGAAGTGTGTCACTAGGGTTGGGCTTTGAGGATTTAGAGCATCACCCTGCTTCCTGTTCTACATCTCTGCTTCCTGCATATAGATGAGATCAGATCTCAGCTTCCTGCCCTGGCCCCAGACTGCCCTAGCCATCATGGACATTATGGACTCTCCCTCTGACACCACAAGCCAAAATTATCTATTTCCTTTGTAAGTTGCTTTTGATCATGATGTTTTATCCCAACAAACAGAAAAGTGCTGAATACAGCCCATTTAAGTCTCGGCAGCACACTTCCCTATGTAGAGAGACAGTCCACCCTGGACTACTCAGTGAGGTGCTGTCTCAGATAAAATGACATTAGGTAAAATAAAACATAGGCACATGTTGCTCCATGAGGCACAGCCTGAGACACGAATTGCTCTGTGGCTTCCTGTCTGATGTGGCTTTCCCCTTTCACCTGTTCCTGCCACGGTGTTCTCCTCTACCACCATCTCACCGAAGGCCCAAACAACTGACCATGAATTTGGACTGTTGACTTCCAAAACGTGAGCTCCGTAAGCTATTTTTCAGTGTAAGTACCCAGCTTCGATCAATTTTTCTGTAATAAAGAAAAACATGGAGGTCAGGACACAGCTTAGGACTAGGTGTCCTCAGCCACATGCCACCTTAGGTTTTGAAGCAGAGTCTCTTGCTGAACCTAGAGCTTGGTGATTTGACTAGACTGGCTGACCAGCAAGCCCTAGGGGGCTCCTGTCTCTACTTGCTCGACACTGGATTTGCAGAGGCTCTCCCATGCCTGGCTGTTTGACAGGGTGCTGAAGATTAGAACTCGGGTCTCCATGCTTGTGAGCCACTCACTCAACTGAGTCAGCTGCCCAAGCCCATCTGACTGAATTTTAAGAATATTTACTTTATCTCTGATTTTATTTATTTATTTATATTTTGCCTGTCATGGCTTAGGGGTGGTATTCTTGTACTTATCCAACTTGAGATACGCTGAGCTCTTGGTTTTTCCATGACCTGCAAAGAATGTGATGTCTTCAGCAATAGGTTTTACGGTCTAGCTGTGGGGGACAACCAAGAGCAATGATAATAGCGTGTATTGTTGTGGGTGCTTCCGGGGCCTCTCTGACTAATAACTGCTAGGGAGATATCCCATACCTAGTACCGATATCTTTCCATTTAAGAACCTATGTCTTCTTGGGAATCATCCTCTATGCAAGAAGGCTATATTGGAGCGCCAACTATTTTTAAGTTACATTTTTGATTAGCTTACAAGGTTTGGATTTCTATAGCGGTTTTTCATATATCCTTAATTTTGACTAACCTCTCCTCACCCTCTCCTCTCCCTTGCACCCCTGCTTAAGCCACTAACTCCTAGTATTCGACCCCACACCCCTGCTGCTTCATATCATGTGTGTTCTACTGTCCTCTCTCCCATTAAGGCCTCTTTCCCTCTCCCTCATGGGCCTTTTCTTTCTGGACTCCCAGTTACTCCAAATTCACACAAAACTCTAAAAACTCAAGCTAGCATCTACACATAATGGAGAACGCGCACCATTTGTCTTTCTGGGTCCGGTTGCTTCACCTGAAACAATGTTTTCCAGTTGAATCTGTCTCCCTGCAGGTTTTGTTTTTCTTTATAGATGACTAAAAGGCTATTGTGTTTGTTTCCAGGATCCATGCGTTGCCTGGCGGACATCTAGGTTTCCTACCTATGGCGGGAGGAGCAGTAATGAGCAGAGATGAGCAACTCTCTCCCTAGGAAGACTGAAGTCTTTTGGATACACGCCCCAGAGTATCACGGCTGGGTCATATGGAAGTTCTATTCTTAGCTTTTTGACAAGCCTGCAGGCTAGTTTCCAGAGTGGTTGTACCAGCCTTGTTGTCATTTGTTTTCTGGATGATAGGCATCCTGACTGGGGTGAGATGGAATCTCAAAGTGGTTTTAATTAGATTTCCCTGATGACCAATGACGTTAAACACCTTTTAAAATGATGTTTAACCACCTATATTTGTTTTGGTTCAATTCCGCGGCCTATTTTTAGTGTTTTTTTTTTTTTCTTGATGTTTATTTTCTTGTGTTCTTTGTCCTTTGTGTGTTTTACTAATGCTTGGTCAAATTTATAGCTGGCAAGTATCTTCTCCCATTCTATAGAGTGCTTCCTCGTTTGACTGACGGGTGGTGTGTGCCTGTGCGCCTGTGTGAACATGCTTGCATGCTTAGTATTCAGCTTACTTTCTTCACATTTATGCAGTTCAGGACCAAAACCCAGGGAATTAATTGTGCCACCCACAACAGGCTGGGTCTTCTGATATCAATTAATGTTATCAAGTCATCCCCCACAGAATATTCCCAGGCCCGCCTCTTCTGACAGCCCTGCACTGAGCCTCTTCTCCCAGGTGATTCTAAATTGTGTCAAGCTGACAATTAGAATTGACCATCTTGAGAAGCAAATGTTCTCACCTCTCCCAGTGTCCTCTGACCTTTTGCCACTGTCTCCCAATGGCTGAGGTTAACTAGAAGCGAGGGCTGGGTGCCCATTGATACAGCGTGTGGAGGCCAATCACATCCATGGCTGGCATAAATCATGGAGCTCAGCTATGCCCATGGCAGACAGCAGGCTGGAGTGGAAGGCAAATGGGCCATGTCCCAAACTTCCCTGTTCCCCAACATAGTCCATTCTCCACGGAGCAGCCTGAGGATTCTACGTGCTGCCATGGAAAGACAGGGGAAAGCAGAGCCGCAAGATGGCCAGAGCCTGGGCCTGTGACATCCTAACAACAGGAGCTGGCATCAGGGTTAAGAGGGTGTTGTAAACCACAGTTGTGTTCAGGTTGCTACATGTGGGTCTTTACTTAGCAACCTGACCTGCATATCCACAGAACAGGGTGACACCAGTGTCGCCGCCACAGGGTTATTGGCAGACTTAAGTCAGGCAGAATTTGCTTCCGGCAATGCTCGAAAATATCACAGCTTCCCAAGCAATGGCAATGATTGTTATCATCGCTTAGCATTTGAAAGGAATTAAAAATCATGTCATTTTTTCTCATGTGCACATGTGGCTTGCGTGCATGTGGGGGGCTGTACATGTACGGGCTGCGTGTGTGTGCATCTACATGCGGAGGTCTGAGGTTGGCCCTGGGAATCTTCCTAGATTGCTTTATACCACATTCTTCGAGGCAGGGTCTCTCATTCAGATCCAGAGCTTGTAGATACAGTTAGTCTCCCTAATCAACCTGCTCCCAGGATCCCCCTGTGTCTTTCTCCCAAGACTGGAATCACAGGCAAACCCTCCATGCCCACCTGGTATTTAAGTGGGTTCTGGGTTTCTGAACTCTGGTCATCTTGTTTGTATAGCAGGTGCTTTAGCTGCTGAGCCACTACCCCTTCCTTCCTTCCTTCCTTCCTTCCTTCCTTCCTTCCTTCCTTCCTT